TGCCAGAAATGGGAGGCACCATGGATCGGTATGATTGAAAGCCTGCTACGAAAGCAGTGGAACTTCCATTACAAGCCCAAAGCCACGGAGGTCAGCTCAGCATCTACATCACAGTGCACAGTACGTCAATGTACAATGTACGTTGTATGGACAGCGTAATATGGGTGCTTATATGACTACTAGGACACTCCTGCAAATATGTTCACGTCTCTCAACATGCTTGACATGGATCTCAATGTGGATGCTCTCGATGAGTGGCTGCAAAGCCCTCCGCTTCTTACAGTCAACGATCTGCTGGCATTTTGGGACGTTCAAGTCAATGGGCCAAATTGTCTGCTGGCATCCATAGCACTGGATTCCTTGTCAGTTCCTGGTAGGTGCTCAGTTCTCTCCGTATCTTTTGCTATCTAATATTACTGTGTCTCTATCAGCGGCCTCTACAGATATTGAGCGCGCCTTCTCTCAGGGTGGGCTCACTGTCTTGAAACACTGTCACTCGCTTAACAATGAATCAACGCGAGCAGCTACAGTCATCAGCTCATGGGCAGCTGTAATGTGGCTTATACCGGAATAAGAGCTTGTTAACATGTTTGCCAACAAGTTAAAGCATAGTAAGAAGAAGGAGGAGAAGAAGGATATTGAGGTCATAGAATAGTTTTGAGAAATATATTCTTTCCTTGCTATGAGTCTGTGTGCAAGTACTTGCAAGTATACCCATATACAGAGAAGTACCTACTCAGAGCTGGAAAGAGCCGTGGGAAATAAGTAACCGGGATTTGCGAGTACTACTATTCATGAGTATTCTCACAGCTCAACTTACAAGTACCCACAAGTTCGAGTGACTCATGCTATGCTTTAATGTGGTCTGCACCATCCAACAGTGGATCACCATACTTCGATGCCAGCAGTTGCATGAGAAAGTCAATCTGGCCAGCAGACATCTGCGAACATTGAAACAGGAAGTCAGTGATTTCAAATTGTTCATGGCCATCAAAGAGAGAGTAGTCATTGGAGCGAGGAGACAGCAGTACTGGCAGCTCCTCTGCAGTAAGAAAATTGCCCTGAGCATTGCACAGATGTCCTAGAAGAGGCAGTACAATGTAATTTAGATTGAAAACCCTTTGAAGTGCGTTTCATACGTACATTCAATATTGGATGGTGGACAGTGCAGAGGTTGGGCTGCAAATCTTCCTGCGACAGCTGTGGCCGAGATTCATCTTCATCAGTGGGCTCCGAGTCTTGATGTAAAGGAAAATCCTCATCCGAAGGAGCAGTGGGAGATAAGGGTAGAAGTGTGGAAGGTGGTGCCGGCAGTGAAGAGCGACGATGTGCTGCATTCAAGTGTCGTGATAAACCTGATCATGCACTGAGGAGCTTCTTGCAGCCAGGAACTGGGCAGACAAGATTGCGAGGACAAAATGAACGAGGGGGCATGGTACCAAGGTTGAATAGCACAGACAGCACGGACGTGGGTTTTGGTGCCCTTGGAGGACATAATCGACACCGATCTGACAAGAGATCTGGTGAGAAATGTGTCAGCCGCATCTGGCACAATTTTGCCCTTTGCCCACTTGCCTCTCGCTCATCTCATCCCCCTTCCACTGCTCTCTCTGCCACTTCATACCCATGAGGCCATCCAGACCTAAGTCAACCCTAGCAAAGAGTTCTGCAGACATATCAGAGGGTGTAAAAACACGAGCGGGTAATAAGACAACTCACTCTGCAGCAAAATTGGTTCCAAAATGTCATCGCTCAACCACAAAGGTCCAGGCGCAAAAGAAGGCCAAGGCACAAGAGAAAGCTGTCACAAAGCTTGCTGAGCTTGAAAACTGTCAGCAGCAGCAAGATGAAAATATGGAGCTCGTGACAAACTGTGTATCTAGCCCAGTATGTTGCTTGGCAAAATATCAATGTATAACAATTGATGTCTAACTACCAAATCAGCAAGCTGATGAAGCTGACAATGAGCCAATCTCAGAGGATCTGCAAGAACTACAAGGTAAAGTATATGCTATCAGCGTAATAAATAGCCTAAACGTCATTTTTGCTTATCGCCATGGTACAGAGCCTGGCATCCATAATGACGAACTGCCAAAGGAATGGCAGGAAGGATCACCTAGTTTGGGCAAAAATGACAAATATGAGAAGCCTCCCAGTGAGGAAGACAATGACGAAAGCAGCAGCAGTGTTGAGATGGAGCTGGACGACCTAGAGATTGCTGGCAACCAGCCTTCGAGCTGCAAAAAAACTCACACAGGTTGTCACAAATTTGCCCTACACAAGCACCTATTATATTCTTAGCACTCGTCATAGCGTTAAACACGATCACGTGACCTATATGGTCACATGCATATCATGGGACCTAGATCATCACATAGATATGATGCGATCAGTAGATAAGATAACTACAAGTCCAGAACTCGTTCTAGACCAGTCACATGTCATGACATCATGGATAATGTCACCTGGTAGGAAGCTTAGCCTAATGGAGATACTCCAACGGTCATTATCTCTCGTATTACTAAACATAATGGTAGTGTATTAGTAACGAGTCACGAGTAGTCACATGAGCACTTAGTAATGTAGAGTACCATAGGTCCTACATAGTGTCAGGGGTTTTAGATTACTTGTATATAAGGAGTGTCATCTGAGGCTTAAGACCTCAGACTCAACAACTTCATTGATTCTTAGCATCTGCAACTCGCTCTACTCTAATCTCTACTCCTCACTCCTACCCTCAAGTTTATCTGTAAGGTGAGTATAGCAGTTGTGATAGTTTGTTGAGTCTTCTGCTTAGTTGTAAAGCAATGCTTTACATTTCTTTTCTCTTTATACAGATGGGTCAGTCTGTTCTTCTAAGAATGACTGGCTGTGTTGGAGTCTGTTCAGACACAGATGAGTGGATGGAATCTTCCACTCACACTATTCTTCACATTACCATTGTCATGAACAGTAGTCATATAACCTCGACCCACTCAGAGTGCCATGTGCTCTGAGGCACTGATAGCTGGCACATTGGAAGGGTATTGTTGGGCTGTAGACGTAAGCAGCAGTGTTGAAGCACTTAACACGTGGAAACATGTGACTGAGGACATGGGCCTAACAACCCCGAATGAATGTCGCTCACCCAGTACTTATCTTTGGACATGTAGACAGGAAAAGTCATGTGGACACTTATGTGTTCTGGACCAAAGAGTCTTCTAAAGGAAGGCAATCCTCTTTGCTTTACAGGTGGAACCGTAGAGAGATTCCATCCTGCTTATTAGTGGCTACACTAGCGGTAGTGAGAGAAACTACCCTGACGTCGACACAAAGAGATCAAACTCATGTCCTCTTCTATTACTCATTCAGCACTTAACTTTGAAAGAAGTGCTGATCTTTTCACCTCTTAAAGGATGTTGTCACCAAATGCACAGTTCTGGTATGATACTTACGGCATCTTTCCAGGGAAACCCTCAGATTATAGAGAACCCAAGCAAGAAATTGCTAAAAGAAGTTATCACAAGAAACTTCGTCCTCCACCTCAGGTGAGTTTCAAAGCTGTTCCCAAAGGGAATAGGCAGAGGGCTGTCAAGATGATGATTTTGATAAACTTGGGGTTCTTCTAGTATGCCCAAGTACACCAGCAAGAACTTCGTTGTTGCAAAGAACAAGTCTTCAGACGTTCCTCTTTTGGAACATATTCAACTTCACCCAAAAACGAAC